TGTACTCATTCTTAGGTCCCAAGGTCTTTCCAGAGCATTTAAATACTTCACAGATATAATTTACTTAACAGAATCTCTTAAATTGTCTTCCACAAAACTACAATTAAAAATGAATTGCAGAGAGGAGGGGGCTGGCACACATCTATGATTGCACAGCCACCACCATCCTTTTAAAAACAAGTGCTAACCTACAGGTGGTGTTGGAATTATCTTTTTAACATTTTAAAAACATTTTTGTACTTAGACAGGGCTTTCCTATGTAACCCTGGCTGACCTGGGACTTGCTATGTAGATAAGCTGGTCTCCTGTGGCCTTAAGTGCTGTGATTAAAAGTAAGGGATGATAAGCTTAATTAAAATGATTTTGATGTACACAATTAGCCCTGGTTTTAAAATAAAATACTTGCTAACAGAAGTTTTTAAAAAGGATATTTTTAAAGTGTAGTGTATTAATTTACTTTTTTAAATCTGAAGATTAACCTGGTTATCATACTAGAAGCTTCAGGATACCACAACAGATGTTTTTAATATCTCATTTTCTACCAACATGGAAAATCTTGGTTTTCCAAAGCCTAGAGGGAATTAATGTCATCTCAGACAAAGGGGAAGGCTATAAGAAAGAGTAATAAAATCTATCGCTAAAACAAATTTAATGTAACATAAATATTTTGAACAAGATCAAAGAAAGCACAATGAATCAAAGTTCAAAGGATTGTTCTTTGACCATCACTGTGGATATGGAAAAGATTTTCAGAAGCATTTTAAACTATGTTTTTCAATATACTTTCTCCTCAATCCTACCTGACTCAACTTCCTTCAATACCAATGTAATAACATTCCACAAAATACTTTTATTGAGAAAAAAATCCTAATATAATATATAATACAGGCAGACACTTTTTTAAAAATCTGAAAAGGTCTGAGTCATTTCTAAATAACAGAAGATGAAAAAGGATTTGCCTTTTTATATTACTTAAATTTTTTTACATGTATAAAGAGCCCTTCAAAGGAAAAAGGTGACCCTTACAAAAATAAGAAGTGGCGAGATTAACACAAACTTTAGGAAGAGCTGAGTGGGAGCCTGAGGAGTTGGGCAGAGCCTCAGAGAGGATGAGCCGTTACTGTGCTGTCTACCAGGCCCAGGTGTCCACTTGCTGAGTGGGTGATTAATTTATGAGTGAATGGAGCCTAAAAGGGCATGCTTCAACAGACAGGGAGACACAGACCCCAACTGCAGCAAAGGAAAACAAGACTTGAGTCAACTGGGCTTGTGAACTGAGGTCTCCACACTGTAGATAAATGTGCTCTCAACTTTTCTAGTAAGCACAAGGAGGGTTGGGGATATAGTCAAGCGGCCAAACACTTGCAAAGTACGCCTGGGGTACTGGGATCAACCAATCCCTAGTATGAAAAGATGTAAGTAAGTGAAATGAATAACAAATGAATGAATCAGCAGAATCTAATAAGCAGAATCAAAGTACACTTTTGGCAGAGAAATGAATGCTGGGTGACGTGGTGCGATAATAGGTATGGCCAGAATGAAGACATTTCTGCACATGGAGTGTGTGGGATAGTCCTGACCTGGATCCCAACAGCAGCAGGAACCAGAGGAACAGAAAAACCTGCAGATCCTACCAGGGAGAAAGACCTGGAAGTTTGGTCCTTCTGTAAGTGCCCAAGTCAACTGAAGCTTGCTATCAACTTTAAGTGTTATGCAGCAGTCTGTCCATTCAGCACGTATTCATGGGGCTGCTGCAGGAGGATTCTGAACTTCACAAACAGAAACAACTTTTCTTTTCCTAAACCTTTCGGTTGGTTAAGTCTTTGGTATGGATCAAGATCATGACCGTTCTAGACAGCTTCTTTTCTTGGAGATGAGAAATAAGCACAGAGTAACACTGCTTCTGTGGCAGTGTTTGCTTTCTTCCTGCCTGCAGCGTCCTAATTCCCAGTTCCCCAGTCAGGAGAATCTGAGAACCCCACACACTTAGGATAGGGACTGACTATAATGCATTAGCCTTGACTCATCAACACAAAAGCAAAATTTAAAAGCATTCAGCATTCATTGAGCAGATCACTCACTCCATGTTTCTTTGAACATTCACTATACAATCGTGGCCATCCTCTTAGATCTTATTTTGAGTTGATCTTTAAACGGTACTCCCAAGAATTAACTAATTTATGTGTGCATTTATTTTAGTGGTGCTGGGGGATGCAAGTCATGGCCATGTGCTCTACCACTGGGGACTCTACAAGTCCTTCCACCAAGAATCTATTTGGAGCTTACTACAACGAAGAGAGGAGAACTTCGGCAGGGAAAAGCACTGCAAGAAAAACAGGATGGCTGAATAGTAGCCCAGCCCACCGCTTCTGGGGATTTCCACTCACTTTTCTCTAAAAAAGAATTAACCTGTGTTATCGGTCCATCATCTACGCATTTCTCAGACTCCCTCTGCCAAGAACCCAGGCAAGTACAAATCTGCTCACACTGAATCAGACAGGAATCTTTCCCGGCTCTGCCAAATACTTAAAAATAACCAGCATTAGGAGTTCATTCAAATAAAGGCTCGCTCTTCCTTTCAGCTACTGTGCCGCCTGTGCTTTTGAAATTACAAGGTTGTTGGGCGGACTAAGTTATTCGAACTTGTTTTCCAAACATGGGAGTTAACATCCAGACTGGAGAGATGTCTCAGCAGTTAAGAGCACACATTGCTTTTATTGAGGACCCAGATTCAATTCCCAGTTCCCACATGGTGGTCCACAGTTACCCTTACTCCAGTATCAGAGGATAAGATGCCCTTTTCTCACTTTGGTGAGTACTAAGCATGCATGTGGTACACACACACACACACACACACACACACACACACACACACACACACACACACACGCACGCACGAAAATTCCTCCAAGTTCTAGGCAGTTTTGGCTATACAAGTTCTAGTCCAGTCTAGGCTCTTATATAGACTATATATATAAAATGAGAATAACTGCAAGAGACTAGTGTAGGGGAATATGCTTATAATTCTAGCACTCATTAGTCTGAAGCAAGAGGAGTAGAGTGAGTGTGAAGTCAATCTGGGCTACATAGCAAGTACAGAGCCAGGCAGGGCTACATGGTAAGACCCTGCCTCAAACAACACTGAAGTCAAAATTTAAGAACACACATGAAAAAGGAAGGAAGACATACTTGGCACACACTCTACCAACTCAGCTGCATCCCCAGTCCCAAATCTGTTTGTAACTTACGAAGAAAGAGGCCATGTTTGGAAGAGAGCAAGGATGGGTATATGGGAGGGTCTGGAGGGAGGAAAGGGAAGGGGAAAATGTAATTATAATCTCAAAAATTAAAGAAACGACTTTTAGAAAAAGAATTTTTAAAAGGCCAGGCACAGGTTGGTGAGATAGCTCAGTTGATAAAAGCGCTTGCTGACCAGCCTGGTGACCTGGTTCAATCCACATGACCACATGATGAGGAGAAAACAGACTCCTGCAAGCTGTCCTCTGACCTTCACATGTGCTATGGCATGCATGTGCACACACACACCTCACACAACAAACAAACGAGGAAATGCAAGAAAAGGAAATGTAAAAGCTGGGCATGGGGACGCATGCCTACAATTCCAGCACTCAAGAGGCTGAGGCAGGACTAGAAGTTGCTTGAGGCAAGCTTTGCTGCCTCCACAGTGAAATTTTGTCTTACAAAGGAAAATAAGACACACATTCACAGTGTCTGAAAAACTTACTTTTCTCATTTCTCCATCCAATCTAAATTAAACGGGCTGACTTACTACGTAGACCAGCCACAGTGCAGGAAGAAAAGGTATCTTTTACACTTCACGTTCAGTAGCCCGATCCTTCCTTGTCAAATCTGAGCTACCGTTGTCTTTGGCCACAAGAAACACTACTCACCCTAGAGCTGTGGAAATAGCCAACGATATCCAATAGCTGGTTTATGACAGAGCTTTAGATTTATCTGGCAAAAACACTGTGTGTAGCAGAACTTCCTCCCGCTCTGTGAATTAATAATCTCAGCCAAGAGCAGAGGAAAGCAAGTGCAGATGGGCAGGATATCCTCAAATTATTTGCTTTGCTTTTTATGTCATTCCAGAGAGACATCTAGTGCCTGATTTGCAGTTAGAAATTCGAATTCAGCCCTTGACACACCTTGGCTGGTAGGTCACAGCCAGGGCTGAAAGGGAAGGTCCTGCCATCCATTCTTCTCACTACCAAGTGGGAAGCCTGAAGTTTCTGCATCAAGGGAAATGGGCAAATGCTCCTTGCCAGGGCCACACACTCCTCTGCCAATCTTGGTTCAAGAGAATCCTACTAAGGACACAGCATGTGCATTGTTTTTTCAAGGACGATAATCATAGTCAAGTACCTCAAAATCTACTTACACCAAACCACACATATCTACTATTAAGTTGTGACGACATTTCAATGTTCTTATCCACTATGGTACAAAGTGTTATGCAATGATATATATAATTCTCTCCCTCTCCTCAATACACTTCAGCAAATCTCAGTAGACTTAATATTTATCAGATAGTACACTTGGTACTGACATAATGTGTATTAGCTTTTATTATGACATCAAACCACTTAATCTTTATAAGCCTGTTATTTTGTCTATGAAAAAAAATCTTCTTACTGTGTTACTTGTTTAAAGGACCGAGGAGCAAAAGCCCACAAGTGCCTTCATCCAAATCTTACCTCACACTCTCCTCTACACTAGCCAAAGGAGTCTCAAATCTTGCAAATGATGGTCAGAATGCCCAAATAACGACAGCAAGGCCACTGTTACTATTGCTAATATTGTTAGAACTTAGTAAAGAATCATTTGAAGGATCACACACACACAATCTAGCTCATTGATCAATCCTTATGACACCATCTATTAGGCAGTAGTCAGGAGAGAGGACAGAGGCATGCCTAGGAAAGGCCTTGCTCAGCAAGGGCGGTCAGAGTCAATGGGTGGTAGAGTCCGGAGACCCCTACCTGTCAGCAGCAGCCTGTACTGCGGGATCCTCTGAACTGGCTTTAGCAGGTAGTGCTTCAGGGCCAGGTTGGCACATCGTGGGCTCATCTGAAGGGAAAAAGAGCACTGACAGTAAACTGGTTATGTCTTCCGAAGCAAAGCGAACAGGCTGAAGCACTCAGGGAGTAAGGCTTTGAACAGCCAGAAACTCGGAAAGAGAATCACAGAGGTGCTTCCTTCTGCAAGACACAGTGGCGGTTCGGCAAGGGAGAGCGACTGGAACCACCGAACCACTGCTCAGGAGCAGAGGCAGGTGGATGAGGGTCCAAGGACAGCCCTGACTGAATAGAAAATTTGAGGCAAGTCTGGGTAACAATGTCTGATATCATTTTATCCCCACCAAAGCAAGTTTGCATCTCCAAACTTTCAGCCAAAACACGAGACTTTAGCTGACACATAAAGACAAAGGTTTTTTTTTTTAACTTTCATGCTAAAAGTGCATTTATTTACCTCACTAACAAAAATTATGTTCCTTTCCATTACTGTATGTGAAGTTGCCATACAAATGGAAGAAATTGTTGGGTAGAAATAAGAAATGTTCCCTTAGTATTCAAATTCATCACGACAGAAGGCAGATAGGGTGGCCAGGGTGGAAGAGAAGGGCAAGTTAATGTTTAATGGCCATGGAATCTCAATTTTGCAAGACTATGCTTTAGAAGGAACATTACACAATATTGTCTACATACTTCATACTACAGTAATATACTTAAGATGGCTAAGATTATAAGTCTGTGGTATGCACATTTTACCACAGACTTTAAAAATAAGAATAACCTGTTTGTTCATTTGCTTACTTATTAGTTCTGCACATGTGTGCACAAATGTGTAAATGTCGGGTGCATGCATGCCATAGCATGCATGTTGAGGTCAGAAGACAACTTCCAGGAGTCAGCTCTCTCATTCCACACGAGGGTCTTGGGGATTGAACTCAGGTGGTCAGGCTTGCTGGCAGGTACCTTCTGAGTCATCTTGTGAGTCCCTGTTTTGTTTTTAAGAAAGGGATTCCTGTAGTCCAGGCTGGCCAGGAGCTCACTATGTAGCTGAGGATGGCCTTGACTTCCTGGTATCTTCCTGCCTCGGCTTCCCAAGTGCTGGAGCACAGGTACGGATAGCCACACCCAGCTGATGAGACTTGAAAGCCAGGACTTTGAGGTCAGTCGGGCTACAGAGTGAAATCTTGTTTCAAGCAAATTAGCTAACTAACTCATCAAAATACTGTTTACCTGATCAAAATGTGCAGCACCAGATCTCCAGAATTGAATCTTTGGACTGTTTTCTGAGTTTTCACTGGTTTGTTTGGTCAGTTACATTTTAACACATTTTTATTCAAAACTTTTCTTTTCAATGATTATAAATGATTAAGGCTTAGAAGAATGTAAGGGGGAAAAGTTCAATGTTATACGGTAGCAAATACCTCAAATTCTCTAACAACTGCAGCAAATCCTGGATTTTTCTTGCACTGCTCATCCAGCAAAGCTATGTTCTTATCAAATTCTTTAATGTATGTGGAATACATTTTTAAATACGGCCCCTTCTTTACGAAGATATCAGCAATTCTTTGTTGTTCATTCCTATGTATAGAGGATACACAAAAACATAAAATCAGTAATTAATGTGTCTAAGGTGCAAATAAGTCATCAGCTTATCCTTTTATTTTTTCTTCTTCTTGAAGATACATCCTAGGATGCTGCTCTTCACCATTGCCCCTGCCATAAACACAGGCTGTCCAGACTCTGCCGGCTCTGACCAGCCCTGCTGCTTCCATTCTGGTTCTCTCTATTCCATTCTTTAGTGCAGCAGGAGCCTTAAAACAAAAATGCACATCCTAGTATGTAACTTGCAATGATGCCTTCTTTTCATTATTTATTTATTTGTGTGCATGTATGTGTGTATGTGTGAGCGTATGTGTTTGTGTGTGTGTGTGTATATGTATGTATGCAGATGATATCACTAAGATACCCAGAGTGGTCTTGAATTCACGACCCTCCTGTGATTACAGGTGAGTGCCACTACACCCAGTTCTGAGGACCTTCTATTGACCCTCTCAGAGTAAAAATAAATTCCATGCACTACTCCTTCCTGTCTGTCCGATCTAGGCCATGTTCTCTTCCCTTTTCCTAGACTCCAAGGCTTCTTTATGTTCTTTGACTATACAGAACCTATTCCCACCTTGTAGCCTTGAACTAATGGTTCCACATGCCCAGAAATGTGGAGCTCTTGTAGTCTCCCCACCCCCATATTCCCCTGTCAGTTCACATGCTCCACACCTGGGGAGGATGCTGAAATCTAAACACCTTACATGTGCTAGGCAAGCACTCTACTACTGCCTATATTCCTAGCCCATGGTCCACTTCCTTAGAGAACCTTCTTTGACCATGCAATCTTCACTAAGTCCCCCAGCATCTTGTCAGTTTTCAAAAATCACAAATGGTTTTTCTGACTTTTCTTGTCTATTTACCTTGTTCTTCTCCCCACTAAAATATCTGTTCCATGAAAGTGAGACCTTTGTATATTTTGTGTACTATGATATGCTTGTCATATGTAGATTATCAACTAGCACTTTAGACACTCAAAAATTGGAAGACGAAATACTTGCGAGGCATGGTGGCTCATGCCTGTAATTCTAGTACTCAGGAAAAGACAGAAGGATTGCTGAGTTCAAGATCATCCTATACTACATAGTGGATCCCAAGCCAGGGCAGCTACAAAGTGAGACACTTTAAAAAATCCAATATAGTAACTTATTTCAAAACATCAGATAACTAAGGAGGCAGGTAACTGCCATGTGGGATGGTGGTACCTTGTTTCTCATGACTCTACCCCAAGAAAATTGCATTGCCAACAGGAAGTGGATAGATCAAGATATACCAATGGCCTCAGACCATGTCCTTCCTTATGGAACAGAACATGATCTATGTACGGCCTAGAGATCAAGGTGGAGAGTCAGTACTGGCTACGTGTGTCCTTCTTGACAGCAGAGCAGAAGTGTCACTGTGGTAAGGTGCACAGGACCAAGATTTTCCAGATCAACAGGGTGGCCTCTGCTTCCAAGTTTCCCTGGCAGAGAGAGACTGCACACCAGCTTAACTATCTCAGTGGCACTCTAGGTTCTAACCTAGAATTTCAAACTTCTATTGTATGAAGACTGGCCCATCTCTAGCTGGTCCAAGAATTGAAAATACTATAATTTCTCTAACAGTGTGGCCCTTAAATTCGTCTTACTAAGACAAGTACATAGACTTTGATCTACATATAGAGTATTTGGTGCTCTTAACTGCCCTAATACAAATATATGATCTCAGGGCTTCTTGTCTGGTAGGCAAAACTTTAAGCTAAATTCCCAAGTCTTTTTATTTTTAAAAATATTTATGGATTGACTTACTGATTTATTTTGAGTGGGGCATAGATGTGAGGTCAGAGGACAACTGTGGCAATTAGTTGCCTCCTTTTACCATGCAGATTCCAAGGGTCAAACTCGGGTCAACAGGTTTGGTGGCAAGCACCTTTACCCATTGACTCATCTTGCCAATCTGTCTTTCACTTTTGGTTTTGAATAGATACTCATTAAGTTGCCCGTGAAACTCAATGAACTTGTTGTCCTCTTGCCTTAACTTCCCAAGTACTTGGGCTTGCCAGCCTGTTCCACCAGACTATTTTAATAGGAAATACCTTATTCAAGATACTTGAACCATTTTGTCAGCAATAAGTGAAACTTTTTCTATGAGTGAAGCATTGTCTTTTTCATCAGTTTAGTCTGGTTCTCAGGAATGCTTAATATCTGAACACAGACCATCTAGAGGGCAAAACCTGAAGAGGTCTTTAGTATAAACAAGAAATATTTAAACCTCTATATATTGCTTATGTAAATATGCCTATAACCAATTCAGGATAACAGCGATATAAAATTCTGTAAAGAATAAAGGATAAAATATGTACAGAATTATTTTGATCATGATAATTATTTTCACAATAATTTTAACAAATTGTACCCTGTCTCAATAATCAAACAGAAAAACAAAACTAAAACTAAAAAAAAAAAATCAAACAGAAAAACAAAACTAAAACTAAAAAAAAAAAAGAGAGAGAGAGAGAGACAGAAAAAAGCAAAAGCTAAGTTGGTTGACCGCAGGTCTGAGCAAGCATCATTGAAAAACTTTTAAAATGACATATATTTAAATCCAGCATAAGGTATGGCCACCCAAAATCAATGTGCAGATAACTGCCAAGAAATTCAACATACTGTAGCAATTCTGCATAAGGACAGCACTCTCTCCCTGGTCGGGTCTCTGTAGATTGTACACTTTGGGGAAACCTGAAACTGTCCGTGTCTTACCAGCTCAGCAATCTTTCCTCCAGTTCCTTCAGAAGATCACGATTGAGCTCATACAGCTGTGGCAGGTAGTACAAGATCTGGTTCAGGATCCGGTCCTCAATCACAGGCTTCCCAAGTTGCCTGGACGCATGGGCTACAGCATCCCGGAAATCCTATTAGAGTCACGAGGAGTAAAGTCACTATACATACTTGTAACTGGATTGAAAGCTGTTAGCCTAGTCATCCTCTTCCCTACAATGATCTAAATCACAAAACTATCCCACCTTGCAATTAAACAAAAGTGTCTAAAGAATGTTTTGCAGTTCTAGGAATTAAAGTCAATCTTATAACATCATATAAGTACAATACCTCTATTTTGTCACATGGGGTGATAATGTTTCTTCACAAGGCATAAACTAACAAAACCGCGGTGCTAGGCAGGAGAAACCTCTGAGTTGTTGGTCAGGGAAGTCTAAGAGACTCCAAAACAAGCTGACTGTTGCCATTACCCTTGGTTGCCTTCCAGAACTTGAAGTGAAGGCCCTACTGCTGAAGACACCACACATGTGGACACAGAAGTTGGAGGAATCAAGTCAGAATTGACCTTGAAGCCTCCTACCTGAAGACTAGCTCTCATACTATCTGAAAGCACTATGCAAACCTCCAAGGAAGAAAAACAATCAGTATCCTTACCCAGATGTAAAGCCTACAAATGGCAACAATGACAGGCTAGGCAAGACATCCCTAAAGGTGCAATAGTGGCACTTTTATCTTGGGGGGTAACCAACAGCTGTCTAACTGGATTTAAGGCCTGTCCAACATGAGAGAAATCATACCTGTAGTGTGTAAACCGAGCCAGCTCCTGTGGCTGGAGAGACTATAGACCCTAGAGAAGAAACTACTATGGCCATTTTTCTTAACTGTGATTGATGTCTATGGTTTGGTTATGAACCTGATTACATCTGGAATTAACTAAAATCCAACTGTGGAGGGCACACTAGTAATCAACTTTTGCTTAATTTGATATGAAGATCCACTTCTAATCTGGGTCTTAAGGAGGGAAGGCACATCTTTAATGTGGGCCATACCTTCTGGAAGCCTGTAAGGACATAGAAGAAAATGGCTTTTGTTTTGCTCTTTGCCTGTTTGTCCTTGCCTTGCTACCAAGTCCATTTCTTTACTGGCATTACAACCTACTTCTTCAGGATTCCAGTGTCTACTAAAGATCAGCTGAGACATTCAGCCTCATGGACTGAGCAATTACTGGATTCTTGAACTTTCCATTGATAGCCAGACATTGTTAGATTGCAGTCTATAAATTATTCTAATAAGTCACCTTTCTATATAGAAAGATGCTTTATAGTATAAGTTATTACTCTAGAGAACTCTGACTAATACATAAACCAATATAATTTTTAACTGTACTCTAAATATTGATCTCTTTTGTTTGTTTTTCCAGACAGAGTTTCTCTGTAGTTTTGGAGGCTGTCCTGGAACTCACTCTGGAAGCTGGCTTCAAACTCAGAGATCCGCCTGCCTCTGCCTCCCTAGTGCTGGGATTAAAGGCATGTGTCACCACCATGCAGCCTAAATATTGATCTTTATACCCACAGATGTGTAGCTTTTACCCCTCATCATAGAAGCTCTCTTTTGCAATAAATGGGGCCTATTACAGAGACCTATAATTGTCAGAATATAGAAGATAAGTGGCTGTAGGATGTCCAGTCCCAACTGGCTTACCTACCCTTATACTTAAGGCTCAGAAGACACCGGGGAAGAATGGGGAGAAAAGATTGCAAATGCCAAAAGACCAAGATACCTGTTTTGAGGTAGCATCTTCTAGAGATGACAGGGAATCTATATTCGTGAAATCACAACATGTTGCCTACACAAGAATTGTGGAACGATACGAGCTGACATGTCAACAGGGAGGGGGAGCTCTCACAAGGCCCCACACCCAGATGAAGAACTACAGGCAATCAATGGCCCCTGAAAGGGAAGGATCAGCTTTCTCCAGGGAATAACCCTGATAGGCTATACAATCCCAAGTGGCCAGTCCTAAATACATGTGCATGAGCAATACTGGGTAGACAAAGTAAGGTGTGTGTGCCTGTGTGTGCGCATGTAGAAGAGTAAAAACAGGCCATGAATTTGGGAGTATGGAACAAAGGAGAAATTGGAGGGGGATAGAAGGAGTCAGGGGGAAGGGCCAAAATTATGTAAATACAGTACTTATGTATAAAATTATCTAAAATTATTTTATTAAATTAAATTTTTTAAGTACCCAGGAAGTCTTTTTTTTGGTGTTGCTTTTTTGTTGTTGTTGTTTTTACGAGACAGGGTTTCTCTCTATTGTTTTGGAGGCTGTCGGTCCAGCCCGGCCTCGAACTCACAGAGATCCGCCTGCCTCTGCCTCCCGAGTGCTGGGATTAAAGGCGTGGACCACCACCCCAGGAAGTCTTAACTAATTACATTCTGGATTTAAAAGGCCCTCATCCCTGTCAGTAATCATTTCCCAACCTGGAGTCTCTAACTGAGACTTGTAAACCAAGGCACTTGATAATCAGGATTCTAGACCTAAGCCATTGCTTTTGGCTTCTGTGTTTCCTTGGGCTAGCTTTGGCTTCTTCATTTGTTAAACAGCTGCGACTGTGACATAATTAGTATTATTAGTACAGTACTAGTAATGAAGTCTAACTGGGTGGTGCACATGAAACTTTCTACAATACATTTGGTACAGAGTCAATACAACACTCTAGGTCTTAATGCTTCTCTCCCTTGAGCCAAGCTCCCAATAAGTTCACCATTTACACTGTTCTAAGACCATCGGTGCTGTGTTCTAACATAGGTCACCACCACCACACCCTACCACTGCAGAGGAGGAGGAAAGGGTGGGGGAGGAGATAAGTATTTGCCTAGACTTCATTGTCCTCTGAGGGTGGGCCTCAAGATCTAAGTTAAACAATAGTGGAATCTCCCAGCTGTCCAAGACTCCAGAACAGAGGTCCTGTTCCTTCTCCTAACAGCTTGCTTACAAATCCTAACCTGAAGAAAGAAGCTCACTATGCTTTTTCTTTACTTGCAACTGTTTTCCCCTCATGGATTGACAAGGCAAATCAAATAGAAAGGGATAGTGTTTCCTCTGTTGATTCCTTCAACACTTGGCCCTAAAATACAAGTTAATCAAGAGTATTTCTTACTTCTTGTTGGGGGTGAGGACAGGGGGATAAAAACAAACCCCAAACTCAAAAATCTTCACACATATCCTAGAAGAACGGAAAGATTTCCTACTTTCTTTGCAAAGCTGGGAATTAAGTCCCCAGCCTTCCGAATGTAGGCACAGTTCTACCACCAAGCTATATACTACCAGCTCTCTTCAATGTTTTCTTTGTTTTGAGACAGTCTTGCAGAGACCAGGCTGACCTCGGGAATTCACAATCCTCCTGCCTCAACCTCAGGACGACTGATATTAGAGACTTGCCAGTATGGCCTAAAAGTTGCTATGTAACCAAGGACTGCTTTGAACTTTTGATCCTCCTGCCTCTGCCTCCCAAGTGCCTACCACTACACCCATCTTATTAGGTGCTAAGGACTGAACCCAGGGCTTCCTGAATGCTAGGCAAGAACTCTACAACAGAGTTACAGGCCAGTCACCTCACTTTCTTTAAAAAAATGCTAAGAACTTTTTTTGGAGGCAGAACCTGGAATTTTTTAATTGCCCATGAAGTCACATTAATCTAAAGGAATACCTTACCTACACTATCAAGTAAAGAACCAACTCATATAACTAATTAGCAGAATATAAAACAAGAATTTAGCTTGCAAATGCTCTAATTTAGAAAAACTACACAGCATTCCAGAAACCAAACAGATAGCAGCCAGATTCCATCCCTGACAGCTTGCCTCAATCAGCCCTGGCATTTGCAAGGAGAAAATTGTAGCTACTTAACACTTCTGGAAGCTATTAGCTTGTCTCCTATGAAGGAACTCTATGGGACACACTTATGAACCACACCCAAACTATGAATATTCATGAGCCACCCCCCAGACAGTGAATATTCATGAACCACACCCCAGACTGTAAGTCTATTCAAAGCTTAGCAGGTAAACAGCTACATGTTTAGTGATCAAAACAATCCGGATGCAAGAGCTCCTGCTCAGCAAACAATAAGCACGCTCCTTTCTTCTTGCAAAATTAAGCGATGACTATTCTGGTCCCTTGGCAGCAGAGTAACTTGTTTTCCAACTGGAAGGTATTTCCTCACCATGACAGTGGCAGTGGATGACAGCTGCTAAGTAACTTATGAGAGTCTGACACAGCTTCTACCAGACTCTGCATTCCATGTCTCCCACCTCTGCCAAAAGCGAAACTTGTTTATTTAAGATACATTTAACAAAGACCAGCCAAATCCAAAGTGGGCTGACCAAGACAGGCAGGCCCTGGTCACACACCTGGCAAGGCTTGATTTTTTTTTTTCTTCTTCTAAGAGTACTGGATGCTTGGGACAGCTTTAGATGAATTGAAGCCCAATGACATCGTTTTGAAAATTATGATAGTAGCTCTAAATAAAACAGAAAGTTTATTTTGTACTTAAAAGAGAGCCAAAGAAAACCAGGTGTGGTTGCATGCACCTGTGTAAACCCAGCACTGGGGGTGGGGAATGGCCAGGGCAGGAGGAATGCTGTGTGTCTGAGGCTACACAGAACTACAGAGCAAGACCCTGTCTGGAAAAAGAACAGCTAATAAGAACTGTAGGAACTTCAAGGGTTTGAATCTCTAAGACCCACGGTTTTATGCTCTAAACAGGCGGTTGGCAGTGGTTCTCTGCTTTACCAAGTGGTCAGGTCCCTGAGCGCTTCTTTACAAAACCTAGCTTCACTAAGAACCTGCCACCACCTATAGAGTCTGGCCCTGTTCCTACCATCCTCCAAGCAGTAGCACATCATCCCTCCCCCACCTGCTCCTTAATTTCTTCTTGGGAATCTTCTACCCACTGAATCTCACTTTGCTCCTTGGCTACGAATTCTGCGATTGGAGTTAATTCCAATCTCTTTGCCACTGCACAATCATTTCAACAGCACCGGTATGGGGCAGAGTTTTGTACGCTAAATAATAATAATAATTAAAGGTGGTGCACGCCTCTCTCTGACCCCAGGACTTGAGAGGCAAGGG